CCCCCCCCCCCCCCCCCCCATTCAGCAGCAGGTAAAGTGCTTGGAAAGCAAGGCAGGAGGCGGGGAGGAAGCCTCACACAGAGCTTCCAAAGACCACTATAATAATAGAGTTTTCTTTTTTGCCTTCCATTTTTGCATATTTAAGAACAGAAGCAGCTGCACAGGAAGCTAAACCAATCACTGACATATTACTGTACACTGGGGAAGGAAGGGAAACTGACACGGGGGGGAGAGTCACTGCAAAGCAGACTGAGCTGTGCCGAGTGGATGCCAACATGGGTGCAAGGCCAGAAGAGCTCTCAACCGTCTCATCCTGTCCTTCCCAGGCAAATCCAGGAGAGAGAAAAAGAGGAAAGGAAATAATGGCCTCTCCTTGAGTTCTTAAGGGTTGCCAGCCCACAGAAGCACCTTTTTCCAAGAACAGCTTCCCTGCTGAGATTGTGCACAGGGGTGTAAGTTAAGTTTCCTAGTACCAAAAAAGCCACTAGGGGAATGTGAAGAAAGGATCTAGAGAGCTTCTTCAAAATGCACCAGCAAATGTAAAAAAAACATTGGCCCAGAACAGTGTTTGTCAGCCTTGGCAACTTGAAGATGCAGGGACTTCAATGCCCAGAATTCCCCAGCCAGCATCCCGAGTTGAAGTCCCTGCATCTTTAAGTTGCCAAGGTTGAAAAACACTGGCCTGGAGGAAGGAGGGTAGGCAGGAAAATGAACTTGAGGATGAGAGCCATTGATAGAAAGCAAGATATTGAGAAATGGGCACAGTTAAGTGTGAACACAGGAAGGAACTCTGAAGGGCTTTTGATCCCATGGGCAGTCAAGGAAAAGGCAGGCCATTTATCAGAGATTCTGGAAGGGTGAGAAATGGGAAGTGGTAGGGAAGGGAATGCAAGCATTCATCTTGGTGGAGGCTGGGAGAGGATGGGGTGTGCCAGCGTGACATTAAGTGAGTCATTGTGCTGCACGAGGGAGGTGTGCTTGTAGTGCAAAACCAACTCCTTAAGCGAGGCGTAGAGGTTGTAAGGTTCTGCAAAGCCGTAGCCTGTCGCCGTCTTGTAAATCACGCAGTGTTTGGTGTCTCCATCCACACTACAAGAACAAGAAAACATCATTACGCATTGCTTGAGAAAGAAAAAGAAAAACATAAAGGCACTGAGGGACAACTGGGGGCACAGGGGAAGAGAGAGAAGGTGGATGTTATCCAAGATGTGGTATTACTAGAAGTAATATTGAAAATGTCTTGGCAGTACAAGTAGTCCTCAGTTAACAACCATAACTGGGACCAGGAATTCTGTCGCTAAGTGATGCGGGCGTAAAGCGAAAAATCATGTGACTATGCCAACTTATGATGGTAGTTCCAGTCATTAAGGAATCACACACAGTCGTTAAGCACAACATCACGTGACCCTGACTTGCAACTTCCTGCCAGCTTTCCCGTTGATTTGCTTGTCGGAAGCTGGCAGTGAAGGTCGCAAATGGCAATCACGTGACCGTGGGATGCGGCAACTCTCGTAATTGCATACTGGTTGCCAAGGACTGAATTGTGATCATGTGACCATGGGGACGCTGCAATGGCTGCAACTTCAAGGACCGGTTATAAGTCTCCTCGTTCAGTGCCATCATAACTTCAAACGGTCGCTGAACGAGTGGTTGCTAAGCGAGAACTACCTGTATTTGTTAAATATTAAAGTAAACAAAAAAGACAAATGCAACATCTAAAGAAAATGCAGGTCATAAATGCTCAAGTTTTTTTGAAGAGGCATTTTGGATTGGGTGATAGAGAACAAGTACTGCCTCTTCTAAGGTGCCTTCAGGAGCTTTTTATTGTTCTTTTTTACAGTTTTTATATGTGTGTTTTGTTTTTGTTCTTGTCGATTGTTGGAATTATTTGATTAAGATGGGTGGCCATATAGTTTTGCAAGAGAAATCAGTAAATAAAGTAATGCATGCCACTGGCCATTTCTGAAAGAGGATGCACTGAATAACAATGAATACTTTTAGGTGTTACAAAGAAGAGCATCTTGGAAGAGGCATCTCTTTCTGTGTGACACAGAACACCTTTCAGAGAATATTGGCTACATCATAACAAAAAATGAAGGAAGGCTGCATCTGGGTTTCACCACCATACAGGCACATACTAATTCAAGTCAGCTGATTATCCAATTAAGTCAACTAAAATTAAGGAAGCTGGGTTTTTAAAGGAATCAAAAATTCTTAAGACGACTCACACAACGGAGCAGGCGTAGCACCCTCGCTGGCTGCTCTCCCGAATAAGAAAGGTTCCATCGCGCTTGCCCGCCAGCATTTCCTCCGCCTGGGTGCGGTTGATCTTGCCTACATACCACGTCCGCTCATCATGGTGGGGCAACTCTTCTTCATCCTCCATCATGGAGTATTGGCTGCAAGGAAGAACTAATGATGAGAACCCAGCGGGGAAGCCTGGCCAGTTTCCACGAGAGGAGCTCTGGAGGAAAGGACTGCCCTTCCAGAGGCAAATTCTACCCCTCCCTGTGCCACTGCCAACAGAGAATCCCACAGCCTTCTTGCCAGAGTCCTGAACACATTGGCATAATCCTGCACTTCGATTTGTATCAAGATACTTCCTATGGCCCCCAAAACACCAGTGACCACCCCCTATTCTCCACTTCCTAGAGATGAGATGTTACTAGAGAACATCCTGTCCTTTTACATGGTAGCAATCTCCTTCCCTAAGAGCCCAAGCCATGGTGGACTTCCAAGAGCACGTAAAACGAAAAAGAGACCTACAGCACAGAAGTCAATCCCAAGAACTTTGTATTTTATTGTAGGGTTGCTCAAAACCTTTGAAAGCTGGTACTACTCTAACCTGGTGGACCAATGTGCTGACTTCATATCGGACAGAGACGACAGGCCACGACTGATTGTAGAGTCCATGCCCAATTGTGCTATCTGATCCTTTTATTTATTATTAATTCATGACAATATTTTATACCCCCACATTCCAAAAGAGCTCATGGTGATGTCCCGTAATAACCAAAACCAAAAAGGAAGAAAAAGCAATACCTAAATAATAAATTAATTAAAGCCAACACATCATTTAACTATTCATTTTCACATTAAGATGTTAGGCGGTCTGACAGCTAGATCATAATTAAAGGCTCTCTTGAACAGCTTTGTTTTAATAGCTTTTCTGAAGGTCGGGGGCAACGGTGCCATTCAGATTTCTGGTGGAAGCGTACTTCCTAATGTGGGCGCCAGCACAGCAAAACAGAAATTCCTAGTTCCACCCCCACCCCAGATCTCTCGCAGGAGAGGATCCAGCAGCTTTCCAACTCAAAGAGTAGGATCCAGGATCCAGACTGCCTTGCAGATATCCAGGTACCAAGCCAGATTGTTGGGAAACTCTCTAGCATCTATTTGAATTCAAGGCACTGAGAAAGGCCCATTTAATGGCTTTCCCCGTCCTACAGGCGCCCTACAGGAGGCAGAAACAAACTTCAGAGGAAGCACACCCAAAGGTTAATAGCCACCTCCTCTGTCAGGTCACCAAGCAACTCCAAACCCCATCCCAAGGCATGGAAATTGACACTCCAACCCAAACCAACAATGAGGTCTTATGGAAGGGATTCTGCCACCCATCATGGGAGATGGTACTCCAGCAACAGTGCAAGCTTGTCCTGCAGTACAATGTAAATAGGCGCTCACAGCCCAACTCCTTGGGCACAGCATCCCTGGTCACCATTAGATTTTCCCTCAGGAGGACTGCCACTCCTCTCCCCATTCCTTGGTGTTGCGGTTGACGCTGGACTCAAAACCTGGGATAGCACACCAAGAGGGCATCCCTGCCATCCGCACCTAGCTAGATCTTGGTAATATTCCTTTTAACTGGGGATGTCAGGATTTGAACTGCTGCAAACAAAATACAGGTAGTCCTTGACTTACGACCACAATAGGAACCGGAAAATTCATTGTTAAGTGGTACAGTCATCAAGCAAGGCATCATATGACCGTACCTGATTTTACGGCATTTTTTGCAGTGGTGGTTAAGTGAATCACTGTGGTTGTTAAGCAAATCAAGTGGTCATTAAGTGAATCATGTGATTCCCCATTGATTTTGCTTGTCAGAAGTTGGCTGGGAAGGTTGCAAATGTCAATCACACGACCCTGGGATGCTGCAACCAACATAAATATATGCCGGTTGCCAAGTGCCCAAATTTTGATCATGTGACCATGGGGACGCTGCAACGGTCGTTAAGTGCAAGGACTGGTTGTTAGTCACTTTTTTCAGCACCATCAATAACTTCAAACAGTCGCTGAACGCATGGTCATAGGTCAAGGACTACATGTAAGCACTCTCTTATTGAACAGGGTTGGGTTCCCCATTGGGGAATTAAAGCTAGATCTCCTACGGGACAGATCAGGTTGCAGAAGATTAGGAAGCTCCTCGAAGTCTCTGGTACAGAGACACCTTTCCAATCACCTGCTAGCTGGCCATTTGCAACCGGACACACCAGGGTTTCAATCTGGAACCTCCTCAATGCAAAACAGTCCCCTGTCCATAAGCTTTGAGATGACGAGCCCTCTCAAAGTGGAATAAGAATGGAGCCACTTACTCCTCAGTTTCACTCTTGATGCCAAGCCATTCATTGATCTTCTTCTGACGAGTCCCCTTCTGGGTCAACCATCTGGAGGCACAAAAAAGGAAAAGGAAACGGCTCATTCTTAAACAGCATTTAAGGGACACAAACAGAGCTGTTCTTCCAGGCTGCAGCAAACCTAGTAAATTAGAATGAAAATGCCAACCACATCAAGAAGGCATTGGAGGATACTTATAAAAAGGTAATTATTTGTATTACCCAAATGCGTTGGAAAAATTCTAACTGTTAAAAGAATTGTTTTTAATTATTACTTTTGTTGTAATCTTAGCTGTCACTAGGGCGTGTTAACTTGATGTTCTGTCAGCTAACTTGGAAAATAATATTTTACGGACAGGCCATGCATTCCTTCAAATAAATGAAGCCCACACTGGTCAGCTTTCATCAGCACCTTTCTCAGGCTTTTAACTATCACACACGGTAGCAATCAAGTCTGTGCTTGCCTAACACTGAATTATGACAGCACTTGCATTTTACAGAGAGGCCACTGGGGGGCAGGAGTACACTATCAGAAAGACAGCTGGAAATTACAGAAGTCCAACCCATTGGGAGAGCTCCAGGTTGCGGGAGGCAGATTTTAAAACACATTTACGCTTGTATTTCTAGGATGAGCACGAAGAGCACATACACTAGGTACTGGTCACGGAGTTTGCGCAGCTGCAACAAGTCAGGTTTAAGGCTGTTCATGCGCTTGTCGATCTCCCGGTTTTCGGAGGCCTGCTGCTTGAGGTCCTGCTCCAGCTTCATCTTGCTGTCATGAATTTCGGTAATGCGAGACTTCAGCTTTTCTGAATTCATCAGGATCCTAGGAAAAAAGAGAGGGACAGGCTGTTAGGCAAGCAAGAGAGGCTCGGAAGTTGCCCTGCTAGGATGGGAACACGGTAAAAAGGAGAAACTCTCCCACAAGTTTCGATACAGCCACATTGCCTTCTTGACAACAGTACAGAAGTGGTTTGTCACTCCTTTTCTGGATTTTTATGTTATTTTCCCGTCTAACCTACAATCCTGGGTTTCCTGGTGCTTTCCCATCCAAATACCAGGCCTAATCCTACTGGGATTTTTCGAACTCAGCCACATTTGGCCACCCACTGTCGGAGGACTGAAGAAGCAGGATAGAAATTTAGCAAAGAAGCTGACGTGGGAATGATCTTGCGGGTGGCACAGAAACCTGTAAGGTGCCGGTGTCCTTATCCACCACTGCCTAGCCCACAGGCGCATGGCCTGAGACTTGTAGGTCACCTGGGCCCCACATTAAAAGCATTTGGAAAGGCCACAGAGCGCCAAGAATTGCCAGCAAATTCTAAGTTTTAATTGGACAGCTGGGGAAAATTAAACACATGGGATTAACCATATTAACTGTATTTCATCCATTTTAATTAACCGGAAAATTATTTTTTTGTCCAGGCCCCACCCACTTCTTTGTTCTGGGCCAAGCCTCCTTTGTGGAGTTCAGCCCGCTGGGCTGGAAAAAAGAAAGACACATAAGCCTGTCTAGCCCTATTCTGAAAGGATCTCACCGTTGCAACTCCTTCTCATTCCCTTCTCGCCGGAAGCGCTCCACATAGTCCCGGCTGCATTTCTCCTGCGTCTGGCACTGCTCTTCAAAGATCTTGATGGTTTCATTGAAGGCCTCGATGGCCGTCCGTTTCATCTGCAGTTCCTGGGCAGGAGGGAGAAGGAGGGCGATGAATTCAAGAGGAAGCACTATGTTGGCACAGGAGGCCTGCAAGAAATAGGGAGCAAGCGTGCGCTTGGACAGGCTTTAGGTACCTGCGAGGTGCGTGTGTATTCTTCATACAGAAGGTCGTATTCGCGGCTCTTGTCCTGGTACTGCTGGTGATAGACTTTCAGCTGCTCCCCAACAGCCTCCACGCTGTCCTCCTTCACCACCTGGTCCTGCCAAAGCAGAACAAAGATTAAGAGAATTACCGTTACCAACCCTGGAAATGATATGTGAGAAGTTCATCAGGGAGCCTCCTGCCCCAAAGCAAGATACTTCAAAATACTTTGCCAAGTTTCTCTTTAAAGAAAAAAGGCCTCCTTAAGGCAGCTAGCTTAATTGCTCTGGGAAAAGCAGAGCTGGCAACTTTCTGTAATTTAACCTTCCTGGGTTTTAAGATTCTTGGCTCCTCTTTAGTTCGGGGAAAGCCACTTTTCCCTTCTTTGTTCCAGCAGTGAATTGCTCGCATATCCCTCCCTTTTCCATGTTCTTTTCAGAAAATTGGTGAGGCCAGCAGACCAGTTCTTCAGTGGGGAGATCGGTGTCTGATCACCCAAGACAGACTTTTCAAATCTGCTGCTCTCCAAATTTAGGAATAATGGAAATAGTTGCACATCATACTTCCAGGTTGCCAGGATAGCGAGCATCTAAGACTGCCATGGTTAATTGCTACTGAATGCCACTCCCTGATATATTAATCTAAATCCATTTCTTAAAATTTAACGGCTCTAGCAGATCAGGTATCTAGCTCAGCATTTTCTTTCCAAAAAGGAGGCGGCAGTGGGGGCAGTAAAAAAAACAGCACAGTAAAAAAAAAAAAAACCTAGAAAACAACTCTTCTCCCTCCATATTGCTCCTTCTGCACAATTAGCATACAAAGGCAGACTGCTGCTAGATATGGAGGCTTTGTTTAGTTACCTCAACTAGTGATTGGAGATAAATTGTCCTCCCCTATGAATCTGCCTAACCTTTGGATCGTAAATACAGACCAAAGTCCCGTTTGGACCATGGGCCAGCTGTGCACTCCAATGAGATGAATACCAAGGAGAAGATGAAGATAGTTCACCCAGAGTTTCCCCATTGGGGGGAGATGGGTGGGTGAGAAATTTAATAAATAAATAAAAATAAAATAAATAGTTGTCTTCCCCTTCAGTCCTTGAAATCCAGAGGCAGACTGCCTCTTGAGGAAGACATTTCACTTAGCAGCCATAATCAGTATCTCTACCCGCTTCAGATCAGCCAAGTTCCTTCCACTCAGGAAGCACTCAGGTCATCCAGCATCCTGTTTCTGATGGAGGCCTGCTCCGTTGGTGCACCATGAGCGACAACCACATCTTACCTGCTGGTACTTGGAGATTGGGTACAGCAACCGAGTGTCCAGCTTGGCATTGTACTGGGCCAGGGACTCGTGCCGGTAGTGGTTGATGAGTTCCACCACAGAGCCAAAGGTCAGCGGCTCTGAGAAGCCGTATTTGCCTTCCCGGTGGAAAATCTTGATCAATTTGTTGTTTCCCCCTTTCCTGTAAAGACAGAGAGGATACGACGCTCAGCCCATTGAAGCTTGGAAGCAACACACCATCCCTCGGCCCCCTCTCCTTCCCCGGTGCACGTCCTGGCCCTCGTCCTCTTTAAAGCAGCCCTCCATCCAGGTTAAACTGGGGCTCACCGGAGGGTCAGTGTATATTCACCCTGGATCTTGCTAGAAGCATCTCTCACCAGGAAGGTACCATCAGGAGTGTCTCGGAGTTTTTCATTCACTTCCTCCCTGAAAAAGAGGTGGGAAGATTTGGATCATTTCAGTGCTGTCTCCATACACACAAAGATATGTGGACATGGTGGCAACGTTGCGAAGAGCCCTTGGAAGCTCCAGGCCTCATCTGGAAGCTGACATCTCAACCAGAGTTATTTGCTTAACCTGGGTGGCCATATACATTTGTTAAATGTTTGTTTGTTTATATAATTTAAAGGCCGCCCAACTCCAAATGATTCTGGGAAACTTACATTTTAAAAAGCAAGAAACAATCAACCAATCAGCCAACCAACCAGCCCTTCTGGACCCTCTCTACCCTGTCAGTCTGCTCTATTTTTTTTCCTCTGATACCCTATCTGTGAAAAGAGAAGAGCAGGAGAAGGGTGCAATTGGCTAGCCATGGGCTAAGAGAAATGGAGAATGACATGGCCCTCTTTTGAAGGTGTCAAGAATTGTGGGAAAGGCCCACATGGAGTTGGGAGAGAGGGAAGGAAAGTTCAAATTCCCTCCTTACACAGGAAAGGAAAATGGAGATATCATGTCTCAGGAGGAATAAACAAAACAAGCCTCAAAAGAAATTAATTGTGTGTGTGTGTATGTGTGTGAGGGTGCATGCATACATGCACCCCCACACACAGGGAACCACCATTTAGTTGCTACTTGATGCCCCACCTCCCTAATTTTCTCCTCTAAAAGAGCCCCCCCAGATTTTATTTTATCCTCAACAACCCCACAAGGTAGGTTGGGTGGAGAGACAGTGACTGGCTGGAGGCCCTCAACAAGCTTTGTAGTACATTGAGAACTTGGCCTAGGTTTTGCAATATTGTTCTTCGAATGATTGTGCCAACCCTGGCTTTCCAGGAGTGAGATTCATTCTGTCTGTCTGTCTGTCTGTCTGGCTGTCACATTTATATAGCCGCCCATCTCACACAAAGCGACTCTACCCAATTCTTCTACAGCCCCAAGGAAATGGCAGGTGGGACACAGAGGATCCAGCACTTTAGTTGCCAAGGAGTGCCTGACTCTCAGGATCCACAAGGAGGCATCACCTTCTGCGAGGCTCCAAATCTCACCCTTTAAACGGGTTCCTACAAAGAACTGGAGTTGCCATTTTGACAGGAGAGAGACTGGCAAACTCATTTACAGTTGAATTAACGACTGAACGGTTTATCAAAAGAGCCACAAGTGTGGAGCCAACTGTACCTCCCACCAACCTCCCATGCTGGGTTCCAGCTCGCTTACCTGGAGATGTCCCCCCAATACCACTCTGCGTCCTGGAGGGTTGTGCCATTCCCGTTGGTTAGGGAGGCTGCTGCAGGCTTCGGCTTGGGTGGCTTCGGGGGCAGAGCTGGGAAAGAGAAGGCCAGGTTACCTGAAAGGGAGCCGCTGTTCAACCCTGCCCTGGAGGACCACCGTGCTCTCTTTGAAAAGGTATCTCACCAGTGAAGTCCTCCGGCTATCGCCCCACGCCTAGCGCAGAAGAGAAGCCCTTCAGGTACATGCAGGGGGGTCAACCTCCCTGAAGGGGATTGATGAACTAGGGGCCTGGGCAGTCAGCTTTTTGCCGCCCACCCCCCACTTCTAGCCTTCCTCGACCTGCTGCTCTCCAGATGTGTGGACCCTCATCTTCCTAGCCAGCATGGCTGTTCAGTACATGTGGAGGAATGGCTGGGGAAGGTTGCCACTCTGTTCCAACTACATCCACTTGCCTCCTTGGCCAAGCACCCCCTCCTCACAATTCCTTCCCCTGCACCAGGCACAAGGATGCAAGGGTTCCCTACCTGGAGGGGGAAGGTCTGGCTCAGTATCCTTTGTCTGCAGTAAGGTCTCCAGGAAGAGAGTCGGAACATCAGGTGTCGTCTCAGAGCTGCAGGAGGAACAGGGCATCTGTTATGCATCTGAGCGCATCTGGACAGCAGCTTAGTGACTCAGCTATTGAAAGGAATTGAGCTCCTCACTCTGGGAAAATCATTTCTGAACGTATAGGCCAGTGTTTCTCAACCTTGGCAACTTTAAGATACGTGGGGCTTAACTCCCCCAAATACCCCCCCAACCCAGATGGCGGGGGGGGTTTTTGGGGTTGTGGTCACGGAGCTTTATATTTTTGATTGTTGTGAAAAAAA